CAACCGATTAGAATTACAAAAATTTTTCTTCTCATAAATAATTCTTCATGCATATCAATTGACACCCCACTAAATGAAATCATGCATGATATGATTACCATTAGATGAGACTGAATCTAGATAGGCGAATCATGTTTCCAGCATCCTCCAATTTCTTGCCAATTTAATATTGAGCTGTTAAATAAGAAAATAAAATTCAACCTCATTATATTAATTCTTCTTTTAGATACTTAACTGAAAAATTGCCGACATGGAAATTGGAACAGTAAAATCAAGCAAACTTACACTTCCAATGATACCGAATACCAAACACAAATCACCAAGTAACAAACACCCTCTTAACCATCAACCATATGATCTAATAATAGTCACTTACGCTCTTGGCCACAAGTCTAGGGTTTAAGCTCTAGTCTCTAGGTACCAAAAAACAACAAATACCCTCTTAAACAGGTTGATACAGCCACATGACAAACTATCAAATTACTAAACTAAGGAACGCAACTCCCCTATATAAGTCGGCTTACCTAAGCAAGAACAGTTTCATACTCATTTTCTTCTTGGTAGCATTCATGCATCTAGTATCGGTCACGCCTGATTAAAAACAATGAGTAAAGTTCCAGAATAATCCTTATCAGCACAGAAAGCTTTAAAAGCTTCAGGCGCAAACCAAAAAGCTATGAAAAATAAGGAAGGCAAATATCTGTCACTTGGTTTTGAGGTCAAGATCAAGATTCAAATCCAGGAAATAACTCACAAGTCATAATATAATAAGGTAGTAAAGGAATGCCATCCCTTCACCAGCTCATCATAATTAAACAGTAATCAAGATATTTTAGAATTTAGATGAGATTGAAAAAAAATCAGGGTTTTTTATGTGAAGAAAAACAGCATTAAAATCTACAGTACAGGTGTTTGCTACACCCCTATGCCTTGAGCATGGTTGGTTCTGGGTCTATTCAAGATTTACAACCATTTCTTTATACTGTATTCCAATAATAAGGGAAATAAACTAGAAACAGATGATAGCACTCAAAAATGCTGAGTAAGATTCTTATGCTCATGAGGATATGAGGAGAAAAAAAAGAAAGAAAAGAAGCATGTAGCTTCAGGTGATAAAGAGTTTCTTTGTTGCCAGAATCATAGAGGATTATAGCTCACATCCTCATAAATATTTGATGCAACTGTCCCTGGCTTTTATCTTATATTCAACTTCTTGGACTCAAATACTAGCTAGAGTTCAGCATTAAATTTGAAAAGAATGGTAAAAGACTTAGGTTGGCACATTTTACAATAATAGAAAACAAATATTATATTATATCACACATTTAATAAGCTAAAAAATGATCACAAAACAAGACTAATAATATATTGTTAAACAAGCATGGGATATTGTTAAACAAGTACCTGTTTGTGATCATGATCCCTAGAGCATTCTCTCGACCTTGAATGTGACCTGTGGCGACTTCTAAAATCATAAGTCCAAGAGTGCTCATAATCCCTATCATGATCTCGATCACTATACCTGTCATGATCTCTGCTCCTACGATCATAATCCCTCCCTTGGTCACGGCTATTCCCTTTGTCTTGGTCCTGACTTGATTCTCTCTCATGATCTTTACTTCTTTCTTTCGATCTATACACCACCAATAAAAAGGATATCACAACACCCCCCTCACCACCCAATGGTTCACCAAAAGGAAAAAGGAAAAGAAACCATGTGAGGATTACCTCCTGTCATCATACCAGTCAAGTTCGCAGCTGTTGTTTCTCTCTTCCTAAGAAAACAATAATCAACAAATACTACTGAATGCTTCTTTCAAAAAGCTAAATGCCACTTCAATTTAGCTAAATATAACATGCCATAGGGACCACTAGGAAAGAATTCTAATGGTAGTAGGCATAATTAGTAGGCAACTTACCCTAACCAAACCAGGCGTTCATCAGAATTATTGTCACAGATTTTAAACATATGAAAAAGCTCATTTTTTTTCTTACATTACTTACAACAAACTCCTTTCTTGTACTTCTCTCCTATTTGATTTCATGTTTCCTTTTTTTCTCATCCCTTCAGCAGAAAAAACTAACCTATCAAAATTGGTTGAGCACCAAGACATTTCATATTTGATACATTTTAAGCCCAATATGCACAGACAAGGTAGAAAATACAATGTTTTAAAGTCCAGCATCTACAAACAATCAAAAGAAATTGAAAAATGGGAGATATTGTTCTTCTCTGATGTCAGAAAAAGTCACAAATGATACTAACTGAGAATCTATAAAGAAGAATGAGAAACATTATATCAGCACCTGACCACCATATTCACAAGACAAACTGAAGGGTATCAGGAAAAGATGTATTAATTTGCTGTTTTACTAGAATCCATTAGGTAATGGCATTCAAATAAAGTTCTGATTATTTAAAAAAATAATAATAATAGACATAGTAAGTGGATAGTTCAAGCAATTTATACAACCAACACCTTGGATGCCAGGCACTATCCCTAGCCTAATGTAACACTTAAAGCAGAGCCACCATAGACAGTCAGCATATACTGAGCATGTAAATCATCTTACCTAAAGTTCTACTAATTTATCACGGATTTGCATATAGCCTAAATGAAGTTTGCCTCCAAAATGATCTGCTAAACATCGGTCACTGAAAGGAACAAGAAAAATCACATCACTTTGACATAGAAGCTTGAAAAAAGAAAAAATATAATATATATACTACAGTAATATGCATTATAGATTATAGAGTTTCCCAAATATTTATTATCTAACAATCGCATGATCTACAAGTACAAAAACAGAAAAAGATGCACATTATGTAGCTGCAAAAGTTATCCTCGTAAAACTGGGCCCAAAAGCCTGCTGGTGACAAGGAGGTATAATAGCCGGGTCAAAAGCCCAAACACTAACTTCTTGAAGCCCTTAGAAAGAAGATAGAAGGCTATTATCAAGAAGTAGAAGATAAAAACCATACCTGTCATAAACACTCAAAAATGCTCCACAAATATCACAAACACGTAGCTTTTGATCAGTCTGAAACAAAATTTGATCAAAAAGATTAGGGTAGATAAAATATTAACATATAAATGGACTAAAAGAAATATAAACTAAAATCAAATTATGACAGGGGACTGTTCATGCATTAATTATGCAAATCGAATTCATATTTTCCCAATAAGGTCCAAGTGTGTCTAAGTTTTC